AAAAACAAAACCACTTCATGCTGTTTTAAAATAATTTGCGCACGCGGTATTTAAAAGTTGCGGTTTCTAGCCAAAGGAAATAAAGAATTTAACAAGCGTGACATGATGTATATTTGCCAATAACTTGCATCAGCAAATGCGCTAATACTTTAAAAGTTTTACAAAAGTCGCCAGTAGAAGATGCTGTTTGGTTACCATATCGTAGAAAAGAAAAAACTCTACCAATTCGTTATTGTTAGTTTTTAGGTATTAATATTTAGATTAACGAGAAAAAAGTTTAATTTATGCTTATCAACGCTATATAGCTATATAAAGCGATTGATCGAAACCTACAATTTTATATTTCAAAATGCAATTCCACCTAATAGTACGATACACTGACTTCTTGATCGAGAATATCAAATCTGCATAACAGCTATCGTCTGTGTGTCTTTTCTGTGGTATCACAATAGGCCGTTTCATGTTTTAAGGCTTAATTAAACTCATCTCCTGCAAAACAGGTTGCAATTAAAAGTGATTTATAATTGAATTTAGTGATAAGATATGTATATTATAAATTTTAATATTAAACAAAATGTTTAGTGTCAAAAACTGTGTGCTTTAAAACAACTTTAGTCAAAAAAATCTAAATTTCTCAAAAATGGTCTATTTAACTTATACTTAACATACCCAGCAGTGCCTGAGCAGTTCTAACCTAATGAATTCACTAGTCCCCAAGTGTATTGTACTAGTCGCTTCATAGTCCACTTGTAATCATAATTCATAAGGAGTAGAATGGTGTCAATTGTCCTAGTATTATACTCCGCGGCACTAGTATTTTCACTAGTACTTGATTTGAAAGATAATAAATAAAACGTGCATTTTATATATTATTATATATATTTATTTTAATATATGTACACATATATAATAAATATTTTTATATTAATAAATTACTTTCTAGCTGATGGTGCTGTAATTATATCAGATCGTCTAAAGATTTAACTGATGATCTATAGATGATGTTGCAATCTTGTCTTCAATGACAAAAAATTGATTTATACGCTATTATTTATATTAACTGAACATGGTACTTACATGGAGTTTGGACACATTCATTCGTATTCATCGCAGCGTGTTTTAATGACTTATGTATACCGTTCTGTTATTAATAATATTAATTCTAGTTATTACTATATATTATTTTACATATTGACATAGTTAAAATTGATATCTGTTAACATTACTTGATCATAGGTTCACAGTCCACAAAGCATATTTTTGTATGATTTTACATGTTCGCCAAATCAACGCTCTATTGTGAAAGAGGTATAATATTAAAAACAAGAGAACGAAGCATATTGCTCTCAATTTGTTTATACCTTCTGTTGTTTGCTAACTACTCCTTAAGTAACAGACCTTTTTCAAAAGTTTTTTTTGTTATGTTGGTACACTCTTTCTTGTCAAATGGTACAAATTTGAGCTCCATCTGTCAATTAGTTTGTTTACAGCAGCTGTTAATGTGAAACTACCTCAAGTGCATTTAGCGATTTTTACTATGGAAAATTCTTGTTGTACGCGATTTTTAGACGAAACACGGCACCACTGTCATCGCTCAGGCACCATATTCGCCAGATCTGGCGCCTTGCGACTTTTTCCTGTTCCCGAAACTCAAATTGCCCCTTCGTGGTAAGCATTTTTAATCGATTGAATCGGTAAAAGAGAATTCGCCGAAGAAACTAAAAGCCATACTTTCACGGGGCTACGAAAAGTGTATGGAAATTGGGTTAAGCGTTGGCATATGTTTATCGCTTCAGAAGGAGCATATTTTGAAGGAGATAAAATAAATTTGGAATAAAATTTAAATTTGTGTGTTTTATTCACAAAATCCGAGAACTTTTTGAGCAGAAGATACACAATAAGCATAAGTAGTGGATTCTTGTTTCAACTGGTGAATCGTTGCAACACCAGTTCCACAATAAATAACTCTAATATATGGTTGAATTTCTTTGTTTGTTATTTGCATTTTGGTTTTATCTTGTTCAAAAATAATAGAATGCCCTATTAAATTTTGTACAAAAAAGCATTAAGAAATTTATATATTTTAAGTGGCAATTTAACTCATCCCCTAGAGCTTAGCGACAATTGTCTCTTAAATAAGTGGTTATATTACTACTATCGATAAACATTAGTCTATTAGTTTTATCTTAAAACTTTTATGTGCTTCAGATCACTGAAGCTCGTTTCGTTTCCACAATAGATTGTGATTATCATAATTTACTATCAAACTGTTAGTTTATGATCCATTAAAATAGACAAAAACAAGCTTACACATATATACCATAATATCATTCAACTGCAATCAAAATTAAGCGATTAAAATAATAGTTCGATGAATGATTTCCGTCGATTTAATGTTTTTTATTGTTTCTATTTTGAATTCGACAATTAATTATTACCGTATTATTTTCTTTCAAAATAGCAAAAAAAATACTAGCAACTTATCAGAGAAGAAATGTGAAGCAACATAGGCCTTTTCTTTTGTAAACAATCACAAAAGAACAACCGCTTATTTTAAAAATAATATATGAAACAACAACACTTCTGGCTTATTTAGTCTATTTTTGTTTTTAAACCGCTTAACTAATAAGCAGCTTAAATCGCATGGTTACCAGGACTAAAAATTCGTCTATTGTTAACGATTTTTGGAAGAACGTGCAAAATTTTTAACTATCAACAAATATTTGACCCTTAAAATTAACCTTTAACCCTTAAAATTCAAATTTTATTCACAATCATGTAAGAAATAAAATATTCTTACTTATAATTGCAAAGAATTATTATTTAATTTCGAAACTTTAACTTTAAATTTTATTACGTATTTTGCAGAGTTGTCATCAAGACTAGTGCTTATTTAATGTTGTTCTTTTGCGATTTACTTGCAAAAGAAAAAACCTATTACTCTTAAAATCCTTAGAGTAAGGTTTTACATCAAAAATCAAAATTCAAAACTCAACCTATTGTGGATGTTCACTGGAAATATGTTGCAAAATTTTAGTCAACCGTTAAAATCATATGAGCATTTCATTTACAATTAAATTCAAATACATAAATGAACTAACTAATTTAAATATATGAGATAAAAATGATTACTATTGCCCTTCTAAGACTCATTTTGTTTTCCTTTATTCAAATTAATTAATTTTTAATGTTTAGAATTTTTATATTTCATATATTATCTTTATAGTCTGTATAATATATAGTTTTGACAAACTCCAATTTAAACTATTTAAAATTGCCAGTACCGCCTTCGACCGAGAGCATACAGATATATGTTACATATGGCATCGTTAACTCTTAAAAGATTGAACATTTTCTTATAATAGATAAAAAAACATTACCTTTCCCTTTCAGTTGTTTAGGTCACATATCATATGTGACATAATAGATCTGTTGGAATTTCTCATTTGTTTTAAAAATCTTTCAAATAGTTCAGATATATATACAAGTAATAAAAATTTGCTCTTTATAAAAATATTGTTATATATAAGTAAATAATTTGTGGTAAACTCTCCAAGAAAATCTCACTAATAGGTTAGGTTAGGTTATACCAGAGTATTACCGTATATTAAAAAGATAAAAAAAACTAATGGTTTAAAACTACCTAGAAACCGGGTGAAAAATAAATACAAATGTAAAAAAATAACTTTGGACTTGTTTTTTTTTTTATGCATATGTTAATAAGAAAACCAGTACAGATATGTTCAAACATATATAAACATATACATAAACATATAAACAGTAATATATTAAAGGAAATAATTATTACTACCTTGGATATGTTGTTGTTGTTGTAACCCACCAGGACCTGAAAACAGATAACATGAAAGGATTATGTCAAACAAACACATACCTGCTTGTGAAGTCCCTTTGGGGTGGTCGAACGGCACTTGGTCGTCTTTGACGAGTGGCTCCGGGACGTAGACCCGGCCGTTCTTGGAACCACTACCTTGGATATAGTTTAATTTACTGTAATCATCGTTTAATATATTATTCCTTGACTCCTTGACTTCCTTGAGTCAATGCTGAGTTTTTTGATTATTCGAGTATCGTTTTCCCATAGTTTCCAGCATTTATCATTATTTAGGTTGATAGCTTAACTAAATTCGGTAATTTTTTAAAAAGTTATATTGTAGTTTTGCAATACAAAAAACTACATGTACATTTGCTATATGCTCCTTCAATATTAAATAATATTGTCAATCATATTTATTATATACTTGATGTGATCAGAATGTAATCTTAATGTTTATATACACTGGGTCGGTAGCATAGTTTCTATAAGCATTATGTACGTATGTTTGGCATCTAATTTGGCAAACGTTGAGTTCTTGTTTTATCCCTTCCTTAATAATAAATTAATGGTATACTCGTTAAATATAATTTGATCTAACTGATAGCATAGATATAGCAAAAAATTGCCAATGCTATTGTTAATTTAAATTATAAAAAATGTTAATTAGCAATAAAAGTTTTATGCGAAACAAAACAAAAAAGTAATACTGTTTTAGTAAGTTAATTTTAAATGAGTCGATACTCTTCAGGTAATTGAAATCACACAAAGGTATTTCAATAAAAATTTTTAATTTCAGTTGAACTTCAATTGTCTTTGACTGAAGACCCAATTTGTTAACCATTCCTTCATATCATGTTACCATACTTAAGGCGAGTAGTAACTCACCCGTAATTCTAACGAGTACGTTACACTCGCATTGAATGTCAAGTTTGTTGTTATGTCAAAGTGCTGAACTTAAATACCACATATGCCTCCAGATTAAACTACCAATGCGAATGTCAAGCTGGTTAACGTTATTGGGTTTCAATAATAAAAACAAATGTTATACAAAATTGAAATAAAATCAAATAAAACTGAATCTGTTTGGAATTAACTACGAAAGTATTTCAACTTCATCCAGCGTATGCAAAGTAAGTATGTGTTGGACTTCAAGCCATCATCCACAATGCTAGGTAATGCGAGTAAGTCGAAATTGTTGGTTTCGCTCGCGACATAATTACAATTGTGCCAACATATAAAAATCGTAATAAAGTCCGTATTGGTACTCGTTGGGCTTACAGCAGCCGAAGTGCACAAGCCTACAAGACGCGCATGTGCAATGTTTTGTAGGTGCATTGTTAGCTTATTTTGATATGAAATCGTTTTAATACATAAGTAAGTAGCGCATAAGTACTCTACCCTCCGCACTGTATTCTGTCGCTACTTTTAGCAAGTCATTCCATTGATGAACTTCAAAATGTCTATTGCATTAAATATAGGCTTTTGCACTTCGACAGCTCAGGTATCGCATACATTAACACTTCAATGTCTACTTTTAATGAAGTAAATCGTGAAACATGATATTTTTTCTTTGGTATCTAATTTGAATTTTTGTAATAAGTTTTAAAATTAAATACACTGAAATGAAGGACGAATTTAATGAGAGTTTAATTAAAATTAAACATTATTTTTTTTATTTATGAGCTCAACGTAATTTTAAGGCAACAAGATCATTGATTTTTAATATATTCTGATATGTTTAAGGTGTTTCCGAAACTCCTACTCAGGGTTTTCTTTTATATAACAAAAAGCTCAATTTAAATTTGAAGCAAAATTTAATGTTTAATTACTTAATATTAATGAAATATTAGGTAACTACGTAAATTTCATATGTTATCCTGTTATGCTAAATATTTTAACATACATTGATAATAATAAAAATCTGTTAATACTGACTTGAATTAGTTAATAATGCTGTGATTATCACATATACTTTAAAATAAATTTATACACCACATTTAATTTAAGGTAGCTAACTAGATAAATTTTTAATTATAGTATAATGACATATTGTATAATATAAACTTAATGAAGAAATTTATACTTAATATATTTTTCAAAACTATTGTCTAGTTTTAAGATTGAAAATGTATCATTTCCTACAGATATTCACAGTTTTAGTGATAGTTGTAGTTCTCTCTCAAAATTTATTTATTACTTCCACCAATTTATTAAATTATCAAACCTTTTGGGTTACTGTTATCTGTGTTTGTATTGAAAATATTTATATATTTTGTGTGATATTATTCTTTTTTTTTCTATTATTTTTCTTTAATTTTTAATGCTGTTAAATAGCACTGTAGACGCTGTTAATTTAAATATACAGTGACGAATATACATAATTATTGACACAGCAACCATATTGAACTTTAGCACTATTTTTACCTCGCTAATAATGCGATTTTTAATTAACAAAAAATTTTTTTAGACGAAACGCTTAATTTGGAATTCAATTCATTTCATTATGTTATCTCTTATATTTAATTTCTTGAAATTTAAAAACCAAAAAAGTACTAAATTAGGCTGAACAAAATTATTGGCACACCTAATAAAAAGATTAAAAAAAAAATTTAATAAAAAATTTAAAAAATATTTAAGGTAATAATTAATATTTAGTGGCCAAAATTTGTTATTTAATAACAGCTACTAATCGGTTTGGCGTTGAAGAAAACGATTTTTGTGTGGTTTTTGGCCTAATATTTTGCCACTTTTCGAGCAGTGCTACCTTCAGTTCTGCCTTTATTAATATAGCGTACTTCTTTAAGGGTCTATCCAATTATTCCAACAAATGTTCTATGGGGTTGAGATCTGGAGATTGGGCGGAGGCGACAATGTGTGTTTTGCATGATACGCGAGTGAAATCATGAGCAGTAGTTTTGGATCATTCTCATGTTGAATGTGGCAAGATTTCGGCACTTTTCTGTGCATTATACCTTTATTGCTTCTCATAAGGATAGCTATATAATATTTTTTGTCCATAATGTCGTCAATGAATTTCAATTCGCCGACACCTGGAGCAGACATGCACTCCCATACAAACACCACGTTTCACAGACATAGCAGGATTTTTTTTTTGTAGTTCGGTGTTTAGTATTCTTCAAACTATTTGGTGGCCGTTGTTTCGAAATATATTAAATTTTCTTTCATGCGAAAAGATTACAATGTTCGAAAAGTCGATAAGCTTGCTGAATTACTCCTTTACATATACTGAATGTTTCTGGCTTAAGTTTCTTATTATATTAGGCATTATATGTTTTTACGTAGGTTCTAAACCATCACGTCACTTAGGTATAATGTAGAAATGATAGGTTGTCAAATGTGTGAAATTGTGTCAAAATTGTTCATTAGAACCAAAGTGTCTCAATAATTTTGTTCAGCACAATTTAGAACTTTTTTGGTTTTCTAATTTTAAAAATCAAATATAAAAAATAATATAATGAAATAAAATAAATTTCATTACAAATTATGCATTTTATCTAAAAAATATTCTTGTTAATTAAAAATCGCAACATTAATGGAGTAAAAATAATGCTAAAGTTCAATATTCTTGTTGAGTAAAAAATTATGTTCGTCATTGTATGTAGACGTACCTTATACAGAGATGGTATTGCCGTGTTCCATTTAATATAGTAACTCGAGAGGAATTCTTTTTTAATTCAAATCTGAAAAACTTCACTTATATTTTTTTAAGCCATCTTATTTTACTCAAGCCATAGAACTAAAAAAATAGCGTCCTATATATACTTCAGTTAAGACTATCTCAAAACATTGTTGGTTAAACTTGTTAATTTTATATTGTATAAAGAAAAAACTGTTATAAATAAATCCTATCAAACTGAACCTAATTTGAATTGAAAAATTTCAAGTAATAAGTTAAACTATGGATGAAGTCATCAATGTGTAGGTGTATTGATAAAATATCAGTTAATAATTTTTTATTGTATTTCTAAACAATACTCAAAACAATTTTTTTGTTGACATGTCAACAAATTTATTTTATTCTTATAAGATATTCCGTATCGAACTCTAAATTGTATTCTCACAACAAATATACTTCCTATATCCGCATATAAAGAGATATTTATTTGTCAACATATTTGTCAGTCTGACAACAATAGTGAAAACTTAACAATTTTGCTCTTCAATAGGCAGGCACTTTAGCGTACGTTTGCAGTACTACAGATCATTATCATTATACACTACATTTGCATCTGATTAGCATAAATATTGCACGATCCTCACTCATTACAGTTTTTTTGAAATGTTTAACAAATAGACACGTTGTTGCGAACAATAGCCCAAGTCAATGAAATCCATCCTCAGGCTGTTGAAAACATTCTTTGTACGACAAATAATTAATTGTTAATAAGTATTTTAAGGTTGTAAACAAAGTGTTGATGAGGTGAAGTTGTAGTGTGACATCAACTTAAATTTCGTGTATATTTTTTTCGAATCTATTTAAACTTTTATTACTGATAAAAGATTTAATATATTTTTCCACTACTATAAAAATTTAGTTGTCAAATTTCAGTACAATACCTATTTTAATAACACATATAAACCTCTTTGGTTTTGTTTAGATTTGCTGTCTTATTGTTGATTGTTTGTATTTTGGATTAGTTTATCTGGGGATATACATTCTATATTTCTATAATAGTAAAAATAAAAACAAATGCACAAATGGAAAAACAAATAGGATTTCTGGTCGAGAAGCTTAGGATGATAGTACCTCCATAATCTATTTTATGTTGAAAAATCTATTTATAATAGCCAACATCATTCGGAACTATGCAACACATTTCGGCACTGTTCTCATAATATCACCCAAGTTTTTGATCCATGCCAACCATGTTATGTTTACTTCTTAATTTATTTAATTTATTTATTAATTTTATATTGATACATAATAATTAAAGTATTAAACTGCAATATTATTAGTATTAATTTTTCATTAAGTGATTTGGATTTTGACAGTATTACCTTAAATGTAGATAACTAATATATTATTACACATTCGGTATCTATATCAACAATCTAAATAAAAAACTTTATTTATTAACCTTTAAATTAATCAAAATATACCTCCCAATTAATAAACCTGGTATTTCTGAATGAGGCTCCACATTAACTGGACTGTGCTATTTTCGACTATCTAAATGTCATTGCAGGTTAAGAATTTTAATAAACATTATCAATAAGTGATAGATAGGTATATTTATGTTTTAACTTTAATCAGACAGAAAAGTACTGTCATTTGTTTCTGTTAGTTCGAATGACTTTCCTTTTCATTTTTATAGAATAATCTCATTAAAAAGTCTTGTTAAAGTATAGTTACTCCCTTTCTCTACAGACTAAGACTGGTAGTGTCATACTAACTCCTTGTTATACTATTATATAATTTTAAACAAAATCATAAAAAGATTTGCTTGCAGTTCTGTAGATATCACGCTAAGTTAATTATTTCCGAATTGAACAGATAATTACTACAATCTTATATTACAATCTTGATTTTTTTTAACTTTTAATAATTTGCAACAATCCTACTTGTATTTTAAATAAATATTTTTTTTAAACATACCTACTTACTGCTCTTACTTCTGTGGTTTATTAATTTTCCATAAAACTGCGAAACTATATTCTTATCATAAAAATATGCAATATTTTGCTAGTCTTTGAATATATACCTTCAGCTCGGATTTATTTTGTCCTTAAGAAATAGACCTTACACAAAAATTTTTTTATTATGTTGGTACACCCTTTCTTGATATATGGTACAAATTTGAGGGCCTTCTGTCAATTAGTTTGTTTACAGCAGCTGTTAATGTGAGACTTCCTCAAGTGCATTTAGCAATTTTTACTATGGAAAAAACAGTTGAACAACGAATTTGTTTGAAATTTTGTGTTTTGAACGAAATTTCATGTGTTGAAGCATTGAAAATCATGCAGAAAGCTTACGGGGACTCTTCTATGTCTCGAACACAGGCATACTAGTGGTATAAATCATTCAAAGAGGGTCGTGGAGTAATCGAAGATTTGCCTCGTTCTGGACGTCCATCAACATCAAATACTGAAGAAAACGTGCCAAAAATCAAGAAAATTGTGCTAGAAGATCGTCGTATGACTGAAAGGGAGATTGCTCGTGACTTAAATATCTCATATGGATCCGTTCATCACATTCTACGTGATATATTGGGGATGACACGCGTTGCAGCTCGACTTGTACCGAAACACAACAATCGAAACCAGTCAACAATCAAAAATCTTTCATCTTGCTATTCGACATCATTACGTCCTCCCGCTTTATGCGATCACAAAGTTGGTTATAGTTATAACACAATAGCTTATCCGAGTATCAACAAATTCAGACTATTATAAATGTATGCAATATTGGTCATATTTTAGTTTATGAGATAAATGCATATTTTCAGCACAATAAAGTCTTGAACACTGACGTGATCATAGGGAATTGCATTTAAAGTTCGGCTTTGATGTCCATAATACATAATAATAGATTTGAGAATTGCTTTTCATATTAATATTTTTTTATTTGTTTTTATGATATTGACCCTTCAACAGACGAAGTACAACATTGACGTAAGTCTAATAAATTTGCATTTTAATTTAAGATGCAAAAAATCGCAATAACTGGAAATACAATGAAATTGTATCTCATTTCGTTGAAGTTTGATTTAAAAGAAAATTATTTCGTAATTTATGTTGTATTTTTAGTTAAAAGAAATCATGGAGGAAGTCAATTATTCCATTGTGGAAATTTATTGCATTCGTGATTTATGCGAATTCAGTTAAATTAATTTTAAATAAATTCGTGCAAATTATATTTAGATATTTTAAGAGTGAATGTAGAAGGAAGTTTTCAATTAATCATTTAAATTCGAATATGGACAACACATTATTTTCAACATAAATGGTGTTTAAAATTATTTGTTGTTAATTGGCCAAAAACTTCTGGGCCTTGGCTAACACTTACATTTCAGTTTATTTAGCTATTGTAGTAAAATATTAAAAAGTATGACCTAATTTAATTTTATTAATATAAACTTTGTATATTATTATTCATTACAAATATATGTTAGTTATTATAATAGTTAGAACGATGAAAGCTAGGATTAAAATTAATATATAATAGATTTGGTTGGCGATACGAACAGTATCAACACTTCTTTCATATTTTCATTTTAATATACTAACTAAAATTAGACTTTGTCAAATAAGAATATGTAGGTTTCAATTCACAAGACTTAATTATCTTTTTTTAAATTTGTTATTCATTTTTATTATTTTGACGTATTTACAATTAAAATAAAAATATAAACACTCAAACCACAGGGAAGATTGAGCATAGCCATTCGTAATGTCATTTTCACTCTACTCTACTCTATTCTACCAATATGGATTCAATTTTATGTCTTTTCTTCTGGATATTCTTCTCGATATCTTCATTATCACAAATTTTATAATGACCATTGATTACTTATTGATCTTAATTCTTATTGTCCCTAGCTTAACATGAAGCTTTCAGACTCTTAATAAAATACTTTAAAACCGCTTATAAATTTGTCTCGATAACAAATTATCGAAAGCTTTTTGAAAGACATCAGAACCCATATGTAGTCGTAGAGTAAATTACGCAGATGAACTATAATGATAAAAACTATTCGTAATCTTCGAATAATACATTCTAAATTGACAATTAATCTCAATTTAAAAGTTTGAATTGTTAATTTTGGCTATCGACTGATGTTCGTTTTTTGACTTGTAATAAAATAATGAATAATTGACTTACTTAATGTACTTTGTAATTCACATTAAGAAATGTAATAAAATTGTTCTTTTCATTAAATGTTTGTTTAAAATACATTTTCTCAATCCTTGTTCATTCCTAAAAACTTTATTCTTCATTTGCTCTGATGGGCATTAATGTTTTTTTTATTATTCAAAAATATATTTAACTTACATATAAGTCTAGTGGTGTGTTAGAAAGTTATAAATAAGATTCTGTAATAGTATCAAAATTAGCACATGAAACCGATATTTTATTTGGAAGCTATCCAAAATATAATAAATATTTCATGTAACTACTTACATCATTGAAATGCTTTAAATTAATATCTTGAATTAAAGTTGCTTAATACAACAAATAATCAAACTTAAATTTATTGATATTCATTTATATCACTCAAACAAGCCATAAATCCCTATCAGTAATATTTTAATTCATCTGAATAAAATATACAAATAATAAAGACTGCAAAAAGCTATAAGTTAATGAAATATTCCATTGAAGTGAGTTTCCTTAACAAGCTGCAACGTAAATATAAAGATTATGGGGCGCCAGCGTATAAAACGAACTTATCATTAACTTAATTTAGCTAAATTTCGAAGATTGTTCCCAAAACTGTGGCTTTTCTTTGTTTTCATCGAAGTCTATCTTGTGTGCCAATGAATTGAGATGCATAACGAATCGTTGTGCAGAGACTCGTGCAGTCAACTTGATAAATACCCGTTAAAATTTCAAACTACAACTAAGCAATGAAAGGCCCTTTTACTCAAAAATAAGACCAAAGAGACGAAAATGCAGAAACGGAGTAAAGATGAAAAACGTAAGTACATGAAACTAATTTTATGCGCCACTGCAGTCGTTTTTCTGTTAAAGTTGTGACTGACTTTCGCAATTGGATGCGCAGTGCTGACTGAAAACTGAAGGCAGTGTTGATAGCAGCAGTTGTCTCGGATTTGGTGCAAGATGCTCTTTAATTGCAGCGAATCGTGCACTGATCTATTGTCAAAAATTTAAGAGGTATTGAACGCTGTTGGCAACGATAGATACACTGCTAATACTAATACTTTAAGCACAAAGTGAAGAGTTAGTCACTTCTTAAGTGTGTTAGGCGTTTATAGCCAAAAAATGTTGGAACTTTATAAACAAATTATAGATCAGATATGAGCCTTCTTTTTCGTTATAGTATCGAAAGTAATGATAATTTTATATCCACTACCAACTTAAAAACCAAAGAATATACGACGTGTATATGTGATAATATTCTCATGTATAATATTTACTATATATTGTATGAAAATCATTACCACATTACAACTACATAATACCAATACATTATTTTGTATTATAGGTTTTGGTTATTTTTCTTTGGGTCTGAAATGAAATAAATTTTCATTGAAAATCAATATAACTCTTTACATGGCGATAGTTAACACTATCAATCGATTGAATTACAGTTTGACTGAAACTAGATATAACTATGATATTAAGGAATTATTTATGAAGTTACAAGATATATAGCCTATATACCTACTTGTTATTTTACATATTTTCGCGATTTATATAGAACTATAAAAAGTCACTTATATTTACCGTCAGATAAATGTCATTAAATTTAAGTTTCAAAAATCTATTGTGAGTTAGCGAGCACGATAGAGGCAAATCCTAATTTATAGTTTAGTATTACGTGATCAGTAAGTGATTAATAATATATTGACATATAGTAAAAGTAGACAGCTTTATAGCACCATTTTACACTAAGGTAGTTTAAAAGCACACTTTAATGAACGTTTTCCATCTTCATTTTTATCCTCTATAGATTGAAGATACACAAAATCTACTCACCAATTATAAGATATTAAATTTCCTAACATGCGACTCAAATTTAAATCCAAATATTGCGATCACGGTATTCTCACATACAATACAATTAATACTTTTTATTAAAACTTAAATAAACTATTTAACATGATTTATTGTGTGATGAATATAAAACGATCAACCGTTTAAATCACAATTTGATAGAAACCAGATATAAATACTATTGATAAAAAAAATATGTAATATAGCTACAAGATACTCTTGACGCTTAAATGCTTAACTGATTATATCTTGAATAGTAATTGTTTTTCTATTTTTACCTATATTGAACCTTAAATTCAATATAGGTAGATAAACGGGGTTTTTTTTTAAATTTATACATATTATCATAATGAAATATTTACTTAATAGCAAATCTGCATACCACCAATTAATTCTAGGTTTTTATTTAACGACTTCAACCACGTAAGTTATCAATATTGATGTAGATCTGCATATATATAAAGAGAAATATTATTTTCTTTCTATATTAAATAACTTAGGCAGTAAGATATAATAAAGGAAATAAAGTAATCGATCATACTTTGTTTACTCTTGTGCTGCAGAATATTGTAATAATTATGTTTCTTTCAAAACTGAAATGTTTTCAATTCTGTGTGAATTAATATGTAGATTTAATTTCATGGAATCATTCTTTTAACACTCGCTTTGGAATATACTTGTAGCTGTCCATATTCTCGATAATCACAGTAAACTGGATTATAATTTAAATATATTGACAACATAAAACTTGTAAAAATTCAGAAGGAAAATTATATTCGAAGTAGAAGTTTTCAGTTTTCTGATTAAGAAAATAAGCAGAACACAATAAATAATTTTATAATTTAGATATAGCCTCTGTGTTTTCAACCGCTATATACTTCTTATCAGAATAGTCATATATCTGAAGGTGACACTGTTAGGTCTCCAAATACTTGTCATTACTATCTTATAAGTACGTTATCTTAATAAAGAGTCCTACGCTTTCTATTTTGTATGGTATATGTTATGTATGTTATTAGAACATCTAAACATGTACATATAAATATTTTTTCCAGGCTTTATTTTTGTAAACATTGAAATGCTACTGAAAAATAAAAATCTAACCTATGTTTTACAATCGTCTGAGTTATTTCAGTAATCAGGGGAGAGAAATATTGGCTTAAGTCATATTTACTTAAGTCAATAAATTCACAAATGGTTTTTCTTCATATATATAAAAAATTAAGAATTGAAATCATAAGTTCAAAATTAAATAACATTATAATTTGGCTATTTATAATAGTAAAAAGAATTGGACTAAAATTCAAGTAAAAATGGCAATCGATTTACAATCATCGAATTTATTCATTTGAGAATAAGTTAAAGGAAACACCCAGGCATAGCACGCAAATACCTGACAATTCTATGTTATAGATATAAGGCACATATGTTACATTCAAAGTCTACATCCCTGTTCACAAAATACATATGTACAAGAAGTAGAAGAAGAACCAAAACAAAAAGGATCACTGGTATGATTAAAACAAATCAAATCATTTATTGGTACCCATAACAATAATAGATACCATGATTGCACGGACTTATCAGAAGAAAAACTTAGTATCACAACAGGAATCTTAACAGGACACTGTAAGCTGAAATACCACCTAACGAGATTGTGCATATATATGAATGCAAAAGAAAAGTCAGCCACACATGTGCTGTTAGAATGCCCTACGCTAAAGCACATACGGAAAAGACTCCTGGAAATGTATATCCTTACGGAAGAGGCAATTAAACTCTGTAAAGTAGGTTTTATACTACTCTTTATCAATGTAACAGGCTTGGACACATACTCCAAGCATAGAAGGGGGCACAATGTATGCCACGGTCGCAGTGATATATCTTATATCAATAATAAGTAAATATATATAGTGTATTGTTTTATTACCTATTCTGATATGTATATATTTCTATAAGTCAATTTAAAAACTTACCAACTCTATACGTTTTTTATTTTTTCTACTAATCTGTATCGCCTGAATAAAGTTCAATTTTGCTTAATAGTTTATATTATAATTTTGCATATCAAAATTTATCGTAATCAAAATCTTTTTATTTATACCTGTCATAACAATTAGTGTTTCATTAAATGTTGCCTCACTGATGTTTATAAACATTTTGTGAAACAATTAAAAAGCACTTCAGCTTCATTTATCATACTTTCCCATCTGACTATGTAAAAAAAAGCAGGTCTCAAGGTGCTTCTTCCACATTTGCAGACATTACCATACTCAACACAATTCGCAGTATCCAAGACAATCCATCCAGTTTGTTTCTAATATTGTATATTATTCGGCACTCACGCCGCCCGTTTCCACTTCACCTTCGACAGCAAATAAACACTTTCGATTTCATGTAATTCAATACGCAAAACAGCCAAAAAAAAAATAAAAATTTATAAGAAATTTTAAATTTAGTCAAGGGTTACTTAATATCTAATTTTTTCTATTTTCATGTACATTTTTTACTCCAAAGAGGTAAAGATTAAAGAGGTTTACACAGTAAATTTGCACATTTGTAGCGAAGCAGCTTTTGTGCTGCATGCGTTATTTGCGGTTTACTGTGTTCCACTTTAAATTAACAATGCAAATGCTACACAATGTAGCAAATTGGCAGATGAGCACTTTATTTTAATATTTATTTATGTACGAGTACAAGTTTTTTCCTCTGCTCCGTTACTGCATCTGAGTTAGGTTTTCAATATTTTGTG